AGATAGAACTATGAAAGGTGAAATGGGGAGAGGGAGGTAATGAGGAATAAAAATTCACAGCTTGAAGCTGATGCAAAAGTTTTAGTAACGCTGCATTTTTTATGCGTCTTTGCACATATGCAAATGCGAAAACGCATATTGCGACGAGCCCGGTGTGTGTATGTGTGTGTGCGTCTGTTCTTCCCGTGCGGCAGGCAGTTCCTCCATTTTTTTGCATTGCAAGCTCACTGCACCTATGTAGCTACAAGCAGACGTTGAAATAGGCTCTTTCATCATACTGACCACCTTGCTTGTTCAAAATCACATAAGTACCATCCAGTAACCAGTTCCGTCTGTCTGTTTTCGTCCATTATTTCCAAACAATCTTATGTAATTCAGTCAAAAGCTCTTCCGCATTTATTCTGTCTATGAAAAGTGGAGTTACTCGAAATAACAAATGCCTACAACCAGTCACTGACAAGGCTATCAACGGTCCTCTTTTTCGTGGTCTGCTTAAAAACAGCCAAGAGCCGGGCTGGCGTTTACCAGTACCAAATTACCATCGAAGTGAATGAACGAAATGTAGACGGACTGGTTATCCCATTGGCAAAGTCATACTCTCGTCCATTTGCATAGCACCAGTGCTAATTACCGTTACGCTATGTTCGCCAGTATGTCAGTTTAATAGCTTTTCATTTCAGGTGAAGAATTAATAGAGATGACGCAGAACTGGTAACTGCGTCAGTGATGCATTGAAGCTTGAAGCATTTTTGCTGTAGACTATTACTCTAACACTGAAATAAACCATTCTAACGGAGAATTAACTTCACATTCCCAATTCAAAGCACATCGAGCAGCGCACTAGCGTTGAATTCTAAAGTGTGCAACAATACTGTGACACATCGCGAAACGGTCCTCTTATCGCACCGGCGGTCTCTTTTATTTTTTTTTTTTTTTATTTTTTGGAACTGGACATTTTCTTTGTGGGGAATAATTTTTCCCCCATAACTTGGCGTGTTTTCCCCATTAAACCTTTTTGTCTCTTTTGTCTTTCTTTCTTCTCTCTCTTCTGTTTCTGGTATCCAAAAGACCACTCTCCATTCCGGTTTCACTGGTGAACAAATAGACTTATTCTCCATATGGCTATAGGACTTTTTCTCTATAAGCCTCAGTTAAACAAGTGGGAGGCGATGAAAGGGTAGGAGGCCAAATGCAGTGGTTAACTACAGTGGCATCCTACAAAAACCTAGGCTGCAGCGCACCACCAGGCTTACTACTGCGATCATCCGGTTTTGCATTGAACGTGAAGCAACTAGTCGCTTGAAGCGATTAGTGAATTATTGTCGCTTTACATTTAGCAACAACCATTCACTTAATCACTTTCGCTGGAAAGATTGTCGACGGCTCCCTCTTTCGAAGGTTGCTTACGACTGAGAAAGTGAAACCTTTCAGATACAGAATCGAATCACCGGCATACGCCACTACCAGCTCACCATCGAAACCGATGAGCAAATCATAGAAGAAAGATGCTTGTGCTGCTGGCTGGCTGAATCCCACCTTCCTTCTTTAGCATAAAAGAAGCATTGCCTCACTCCAGCAAAGCGGAAGAGGAAAAAACTCGCTGCAAACGAGACATGCAGAGCGGCAAACGTGTTTTTATTAGAGCAGCCATCTGAAAGGGCTATTCTTTGGTTGCTAAGTGCATCTCGCCCCCTTGCTTCCACTGAAAATTCTCTGGATGTTTACAGCTGGCTGTCAGATGATCGCAATCGACTCGGTGCAGTGCTCGGAAGCAAAGGAAGCCCGCACACTCTGCTCTAAACCTACATATAAAGCTCTCCTGCTCAGCCAGACACATTTTTTAGTTCCCTCCGCCTCGCTCCACATTTTGTTTTCATATTTAGCCGTGTAGTGGAAGGTCTGCATTTGCTTCGGAGCGCAGCTTGGTTTGTTCCATCTGTTGGTTCGCCGGTCAATCTGTTGTGAATGTTCGAACTGTGAAACATTCCTGCACGTGTTTTTGCTATGTGGAGGGGATTCGTGCAGTAATTGCAGCGGCTAATTTACTGAATTACCAGCTGTTCCACGTATTCCAGGCAAAAGGTCCTGGTATAGTCGACATGTTCGAGCGAGAGCTAAACTAAATCCAAATCCCTTCCAAGCAAACTGTTGCTGAATAACGAAAATTGTCTTCTTGTTAGAAATGAACATAATATCCCCCGCCTTGCAGCGATTATTAAGGTGGCCTAGGCATTCTCGACGGGCTTTAAATTGGCTGATCCGCAGAAAGCATTCCGTACTAATCTGGCGGAAAACTGCCTTTGATAAAATCGATAAATTATGTAGCCTGTCCTTCCTGCGCATCCCTGCTTCTGGTGAGTGGTACTTTTGGGGTTTCTGTGCACTGAATTCACCGCACAGTTTTCATTTTCACGGATACTGGTTAAACTGAGGGAAGCCGCAGTGCGGCGTTACTCGGGAACCACATAATTTGT